TTTAGAAAGCACGTTAACGATGCAGGTACCAAAAGAGAAGATTGACGATGAATATCAACCTCACATCAAATATCGAGTTCTATAAAAAAACTAATAAAAAAGAGATGGGATGTAACCTAGTTACGGTATTGTCTGATATTTTTAAGAACATTAGAAAAATGATCATTATACGATTCTTTGGATAAATTACTATGATATTATCGTTGCGTAAATAATACCGTAATTATGTGGTGTTTAATATTCATTGTCAGAACTTTCAGAGACCTTCAATAATCCGCATCCACCAATCAGTTCCACATGTAAAGAACATAATAAAAATATATCATTTCTAGGTTTAGTAAAAAAGAAATTATTTGACTAGACAATATATTTACTTCCATAGCCTATCACATCTCTAACACAAAACTAATCTGATTAAATGCCTGAGTCATGGAATCTACAGATGATATATAGACAAAATTGAACAAACTACCGTTAGCTTTACAAAAAAATTCTAACAGACTTCTACACTCGAAGATATAACTCCATTTAAGGCTTGAATTTGAAGGTGAGATAGCTAGTAAAATTCTACCACACAGACACATGTCATCCATGAAAACGACTTTTAATGCAGCTAAGAAACCCAATACTGGTTCAGTAAATCAGGGTTAAGACATTAATGATAGTTTTATCTATGAATATTTGTTAATCTCGGGGGTTAGTTAAATTGCCTATGCTAAAAAGTGCATATGTTTGTTCACTCGAGTGATTGTACGGGTATGATTAAGAAAAGGTGTCATTAAGTTTATCGGTAGTATTAAACATTCTCGTCCAACTCAGTGAATATAATATCGCTGTTACATATCATATTTCAACGTTATTGAATACTGCTGGCTGATTGTTTAAATCAATATGATACATCTAAAAATGCGTAAATTACAAAATTTAACCATAGTTACCGAACGAGATTTTTTTAAAAAAATAACGCATCATTTTCACACTAATTGAATAATTCACATACAGGTAGTTTTAGTCGGTAAATGATTTGTGATAATTTCATGAAAAAAGAATTTACTAATCATATATTGATGTTTAAGCACTTTAGGATTTCGTCTTGTGGTAGGTTTTATAATTTAAGCTTTATCTCACTCACTGCTGATTATGAAAATATTGTATAAATTAATGGAGCTCAGATTGTGGAGGTTCAGTGTTAAAACTATGAAAGTTGTCAAATATGTGAAAATTAAGACGATTCAATGGAGAAAATTTTCTGTACAAGGATTTGATATATATATATATATATATATATATATATATATATATATATATATATAATTCCGTGATAATACATAAAGGCTTTGTGTAACTAAACAAGTTGTGAGAGCTTTACAAAATATTTTCAAGTATTGAATACATTTTACGTAATATTAGATGAGTTATGACAAACTAAGTGATGGAGGGTAAGTTTCAAAGTATGAAAGATAACTTTCCACCTAAAGAATATATAGATGAGTAATGAGTGAATAAGTGTCAATTTGTTAAGTCGGCTTTCCGAGAACTGCAACAGAGCCTCCGGAGGCCCTGTAGGAGCCAAAGAGTCTTAGCCAATCAGAGCACAATGGAGCTTTCTAGAATGCCAACGTGGCGTGCTACTATTGGTCAGTAGCATAATATGTCTTTTAGCGGATTGGCCAAAATATGATGTTGATTCAACAAATGTTAACATCTATAAATACCCATGTTTTTCTGTACAAAAATGGAACCTTGAAGTAAAGTACTTTTCGCATACTTTGCGCCTTCTCTCTCGTGTTCAGGTCGCTGTATAGTTTTAGCTTGGGGGTCTTCAAGAATAGCTTAGGAATCGAGTATAGCGTTCAAAATCTCAAGACTTATCACAATTACAATATTTATAGTTATGACTCTTAATACCATAAATAAATTGAATCTTGTTCCCAATTCTCCTAGTGACTACAGATAATCCAGTGTTCAAGAATAAAGCTAATTTATCTTTTAATAACCATACAGAATAGTTAACTCATTTGTATTCGGAAAAAGCGTGCTTAATGAGGCTAATATACACATTGAAGTAGCAAAAGAGGAACACGTCTGTCATTGATAAAGAGCTATATAAAGTATGTAGTGAAGAAAACATTCAAGATCTTCATTAAATTGAATCCTTTCCTTAGAAATATTGATAGTAGGATTCTTGTGAAATCTAGTAACATGTCACTCTGATGTGCTATTTTTCATCGAAAATACCAACCTAGTCAATTGCTTCTTACTTAGACCTGTTAACCCTCGTGGAGGAGAATAGGCCGTCCATCAGCACTCGCCATCCAACCTTGTCCGAGGTAATCCCTTCCACCTGTTTCCACTTGCTATTCATCCTTTTGGTGTCTGTTTCCAATTCTCGACGTAGTATGTTACTTAGCATTCCTCTTTTTTTCGTTTTCCTTCAGGATTGTAAGTGAGCGCTTGCCTCGTGATGCAGTTTGATGATTTCCGTATTGTATGTTCTATCCACTTCCAACGTCTTATTCTAATTTCTAACTCAGCTGGAACATGGTTTGTTCTCAACCACAGGAGGCTGTTTCTGATGGTATCCGGCCAAAGAATGTTGAGTATCTTAAATAGACAATTTTTTATAAATACTCCTAACTTTTTGGTGATGGTTGTAGCAGATCTCTATGTTTCAGCTCCGTACAGTACAACTGTCTTGATGTTCGTATTGAAGATTGTGACTATGATATTGGTTGACAATTGCTTTGAATTCCATATGTTGTTTAACTGTATGAATGCTGTTCTCGCTTTGCCAATCCTTGGCTTTTCGTCTGAATGAGATCGTCCACGTGCACTGATGCTACCCAGTTACGTGAAACTTTCCACATCTTTCAGAGCTTCTTCATCAGTGTGACTGCGTCGGTGTTATCTAAGCTATATTTCAAGACCCTTCTTTTCTCCTTGTGTTTGCTCAGGACCACTGATGCAGGTCATCTGCGAAATCCAAATCATCTAGTTGCATCCAAGTTGTCCATTGTATTCCGTTCGTCCCCCATATGTTGAGATCATTATAATCTAGTCAATCATCAGAAATAAGACAACAGGAGAGAGTAGGCAGCATTGTACGACTTTGGTCCTCATTTAGAATGAGTCATACACGACTTTGTACTATAGTCCATCATATAAATTCCGCATGATGTTGACGATTTTTTAATGTACATCATAGTGTCGGAGAAGTTTGCATAATATTCGCCTATCCACACCATCAAATACTTTCTTATCGTAAAGGAAGTTGATGTGTAGTGGCAAGTCCCATTTAATTGATTGTTCAACGATGATCCATTTGTTGCGATTTGGAATCCGTCCTGTTGATGTAGAAGCCAAGCAACTGCTCAGTCATTCATCCAGTTCACCAACACTCTGTTGGAAACTTTTCCTAGTACGGACAATAATGTGTTGCTTTTGTAGTTCTCACATTTGCTCAGATCTTACTTTTGTATCTTCGTGAAGCGTCCTTCTTTCGAGTCTGTCTGCACTTGTCCTTCCACCAAAATCTTCCTGAATATAATGTGAAGGATGTTTACAGTTACTTCTATGTCTGACTTCAGTACTTCAGGTGGCATAATGTCAGGTCCTACTGCTTCCACACTATGCTATGCTGATTTTTTCGATCGTTGGTGGAGTGATAGCCACAGAAATTTTAGAAGTAACATATTAATGTTGTTAAACGCATATTTTGAACAACGGGAAACAGTAAACTTAGTTCCTTCAACTGTATTTCCTGTTTCATATACTTGACAGAATAATCCATGAACCCGAATATTCCTATGGTCAACTAGTCAACTTGTAATGCAGAACTAGAAATTAATTAATGCCTTATTTTTAGCCATCTTAAGTATAATAGCTCCGTGCACTCAAAATGCTATTTTAGTTTTGTTTTTATTTAACCACACTATGTCAGGATTAACTGTTTTTTTATATCATCTGTAATCCAAGGCTCAAAAGAAAATCAACATATAGTCTTGTTCACGCTATTCAGTCTATTTAATATTAAATAAAGAAAACAATCATCGTTCAAATCAAGTTCATCTTTTATTTTGATTATATTGTGGTGAACAAAAACACGAGTGAAGCAATCGAATGTATTTGTGCACGAAATTACAGAATATCTCACTAAAATCTGAGAAACATACAATAAATACTTCATATACAAAATATCAATCCATTGTCTCAAACTTAACATTTTTCTTTTGCAAATATCAATTCATCGTCCCAGATTTCATTGTTCCTGCATTTTTATACCAACAACTTTCCGTTCCCATTTTTTCCTTCTTGATCTTCTACTGAAATACATTCTATTCCTGACTATCATCATATACTACTTATGTGTATACAAGTATCGCACACTATAGTATGAAAATAATATTTAATTATGGAAATTAGCTGACTAATTTATCTTCATATAGTACTTAAAGTTTTATAGTCCAAAAAAGCAGTGAATCTTAAGAGAGTAATAACGAAACTGGTTGAATAACCTAGTTGAAGATTAATTAATGAATGATGAACTTGAACCTAAGATATGAAACACCACTACTACCTTACTAATATTATTTAAATTTAGATCACTTTTAATATGAATTATCCAATATTTATTTAAATAATCAGGATATATACAACAATAATAGACTATTATAGAGGTGACTAGATCATACAATGTGATTACAATAAATATTGATTTCTAGAATATAAGTTAACAAATCTATGTTTACAATTTAAATGACACATCTATCTTTTTATTTTTTTATTATTTTACTTAAGAAAATGTAATGTAACACCCACTTTAAAATCTTTTGATGAATACATCAAGGTCATATATGTGGTATAAATAAACAACTAATCTAAAAAGCTTGACAATATCAAGTTTAATTTTAATATTTCATTATAAAAAACAAACATTTTATACAATAAAATATTATATTTGACTTAACGGTTTGATATACATATATATTGAGTAATTAAACATGTCATCGCATAATAGATCAAAAAGTCGAACATATTATTCACAAGCTGGTGATCATTATGTGGATAGCAAATCTAAACAATTACTTTTTCAGGAAGCTCAAGTATGTACAATGGGAAGAACTATATTAAAGAATGGTGAAACATTTGATGCAAATGCAGCTGATAATTTATTAGAGAAACATTATAAAAGACGAAAATCACATGGTTCAATGTATTGTTTAGTGGATAGAGTAAGATTTCAAAAAAGTAGATCAACTGGTTCACGTTCGTATAGACCTGATCTAACTTATCGAGAAATTAATCGTTTTTATGAACACAGAAGTCGACCTGATTGTTTTACATTAGGAATAGAAGATGAAAGAACTGGGAGACGATCCTATGAATCATATAAATGTAAAAGACCTGAAGACGTTGGTTTGCTGCGTAATACAATACTTAAGGCACAACAAGATCCATATTTTCTTTTGAAAGATTCTACACCAATCCGTCAAATTTCTGTATCACCGACATACTATCATGATACTTCACCTCGAAATGGTCCAGTTACAGTGATTACTGTCCCACCTGAACATACCAGATCGTATGAGAGAACAGTTCGCTCCCCATCACCAGTGTATATTAGACCTGTGACAAGACAAAGTGTACGTCGTTCGCCTTCACCTGAAGATGTCTATGTGTATCGGAATAGTCGACCAGTCAGTATTGAACGACGATATGATACAATCGAGCCAATTAGACCACGTAGTGTTACAAGCTATAGAACCGTATCTAGTCCAGGGGTGAATGAAGAAGTAACTTATCTAAAAGTAGATAATCAAACAGGAGCTCAAATATCTCCTAATGGTCCAATATACATGTATGTTTCAAGATCAAGACCTGCTGATGATTTGGTATCATCACCAGACGTATCAAGTTATCAACCAACAAGGAGAAGCATCTATTATAACAGATAAGTGTTCTTTTATAAGACAAACTATATCATAGTTGTTGAGGATATGCAACATTCATTTTTTTCATCTCTGTTTCTTCTCAGTTAACAAACATTAATAAGTTCACATATTTTTTTCAAAATTTTGTAACTGAATTTTTTCTATACATCCAGGAAATGCTTAACTTCACTATGAGTCCATGTTATATACATATGGAAGGAATGTATTATCTAGTTTATTTTCGGAAGTTTCATGTTAATCATTTATGTCTATCTTCTACCTATTTTTACTTATGTATGATAGTTAATTTAGAAGAAAAAAAATTGATAAGAAGTATCCCTCTAGTAACCATTAAATAAAATAATTAATTTAAAACTTTTAATTTCAAATTTGATATTCATTTCTTTTTTTTTCCTATAAAAGTTCTTTCTTGAATATATTGAAAGAGTAAAATGTGATTGAAGAAAAACTTGTCTTTTTCTTTTTGTTTTTACTGTACAATAAATTTATGGTTTAATGTAATAGTAGATGTAATTCAGAATAACAATATTACTTTACTTTACTTACTTACTTACTTACGCATGTTACTCTTCATGAAAGAGCATAGGTCACCCACCAGTACTCTTCATTCAACCTTGTCTCGGTCAATCCTTCCTAGCTCTTTGCAGTTGTTATTCTTTTTTATTTATATATATATCTGCTTCTATTTTCCGACGCAACGTATTCATTGGCCTTCCTCTTTTTTGCTTCTCTTTAGGATTGCAAGTTAACGCTTGCCTCATAATGCAGTTTTAATGATTTCTGTATTATCAATATTAAGAATGATATTTTCAAGTAATTGAAACTAATATTGTTATTAAAATAACCATTTTAAATTTGATTACATAACTTTGGAAAGATCTTGAATTTTTTTGTTTTGTTTTGTTTTTACATCAATAAATAATATGATAAAGTGAAATTGTTCACTAAATGACAAGAATAAATATAACAGAAGAATTATGGTGGATTATCTAAATGATATAACAGTTTCTACTTGAAAATTGAATCCTTTTATGACAGTAAAAATTTTGAAAAAAAAATAACATTTCATTATTTATTCAGTTTGTAGTTTTGTACACTGTTTTTTTTAATTAATTTTTATGGAATATACAATAAATTTATTGTAACCGAGTAACTTTTTAACTGATTTTTATGATATTATTTAGATATATATTTTTAAAAAAATAATGATCTTATATGGTTTGATGGAGGTTTCTCGACTGGCTGGGTGGCTGGCTGACTGAGTGACTGATTGAAACGTTTTTTTATTAATAAACAATACTTTAATCATTGACTGTTACTATGAATATATTAAATAAAATTTTCCTTAATATTATTAAAACAAATATTATAACAGATTGATGTCATGTTGAATTCGAAAAAAATTTATAAATTGTTTATATATTAGTTAAAGCATAGAATTGATAATATGTTAAAAATGAAAGAACAACCTTTGACTTTCATATTACTTGGAATGTAAACGAAAATTTATGATATTGAAGGGTTAGAATAAATTTAATCTAAAACAGATATTACGTGATCTAATTCTACTTTATGTTGAGAAATAACTGACAAAAAATCTTGATATCAAAAAATCACCATAAAAGTAAATAAATGGTCGAATGAAAATACACTATTTCGTAAATATATAACATTTTACAGCTTGAATGTTTAATTTCATATTGTTAATTATAACATTTTGAATGTTCAATCAGTAATAGGCTAAGAGGTTTAAGTCCAAAGAAAAATCAATTATAAGTAATCTGTAGCATAGTGATTTATTATTGTATTGATTTAAAGTAGAATTATTGACACTTCAAAGATTATACAATTTGGATTGTTCAACATTATTACTTATATTGACAAATATGTGAAATTGAACATTTAGCTATACATGATATGAACATTTTTTTGATATTTACTTTTTTTCTTTTAATATTGAAAAAAAAACACTACAATTAATCATTTGTATATTAATTGTTAAAATTATTTCAGCATGAAATAATTTTATTAAAAAATATATAATTGATTGACATAATCCCTGTAGTGATGAAATATTTTCATTCCATTTCCAAATTGAATGTACTTTCTATCCTTAGTATTTTAAAGGATTAAATCTTACAATAAACATATATTTTACTTGTATAACATCATGATTGTAAGTGTTACAACGAAATACTAAATGTCTACAAGCTTAATTTGATCATATTAATTTTGAAATACAATTTTAAAGGGAATAAAGGAACTATCGTTTAATCTATATATTATTTGTAGAATAAAATTAGATATGGAATCATTATCTAATTTATTTGACTACATCAGATACTATTTAAAATTATATACTAGAAGGGGTTTTGTAAATATTATAATGATTTTAATAGTTGAAATCATTAATCAATTGAATCTAGACTACTATGCAAAACCTAGAAGCACTGAATGGCGGTTCCGTCCTATTGTGGAATTCTTCAGCAGTGCACATCCACGACCTCGCCTCGTGAGATTCGAATCCAAAATCTATCAGTCTAGCGCACGAGAGCTTAACCATTAGACACCTTTTTCAAGCTCAAATTTTCATATATATACTTACTTACTTACGCCTGTTACTCCTCGTGAAGGAGCATAGGCCGCTCACCAGCATTCTCCATCCAACCCTGTCCTGGGCAATCCTTTCAAGCTCTTTCCAGTTCTTATTCATCCTTTTCATATCTGCTTCTATTTCCCGATGTAATGTGTTCTTTGGCCTTCCTCTTTTCCGCTTCCCTTCAGGATTCCAAGTTAACGCTTGTCTAGTAATGCAGTTTGATGATTTCCTCAATGTATGTCCTATCCATTTCAATCGTCTTTTCCTAATTTCCTCTTCAGCTGGAAGCTGGTTGGTTCTCTCCCACAAAAGGCTGTTGCTGATAGTATCCGGCCAATGGATGTTGAGTATCATGCGTAGACAGCTATTAATAAATACCTGTACCTTCTTGATAGTGGTTGTTGTAGTTCCTCAAGTTTCAACTCCGTACAGTAGAACTACCTTGACGTTCGTATTGAAGATTGTGACTTTGATATTGGTTGAAAGTTGTTTTGAGTTCCGTATGTTCTTCAGTTGAAGGAATGCTGTCCTTGCTTTGCCAATCCTCGCCTTGACGTCTGCATCTGAACCTCCTTGTTTATCGACGATGCTTCACAGGTATGTGAAGGATTCCACATCTTCCAGAGTTTCGCCATCAAGAGTGATTGGATTGCTGTTCTCCGTGTTGTGTTTGAGGACCTTGGGTTTCCCTTTGTGTATGTTGAGGCCTACTGATGCAGAGACTGCTGCTATGCTGGCTATCTTTATCTGCATTTGTTCATGTGTATGTGATAGGAGGGCTAGGTCATCTGCGAAGTCCAAGTCGTCTAATTGGTTCTGAGCTGTCCATCGTATGCCGTGGTTTCCCTCAGATGTCGAGGTCTTCATAATCCAGTCGATCACCAGAAGGAAGAGGAAGGGCGAGAGTAGACAGCCTTGTCTTACTCCGGTCCTTACTTGGAATGCGTCAGTCAGCTGTCCTCCATGCACTACTTTGCACTGTAGTCCGTCGTATGAGTTCCGGATAATGTTGACAATCTTCTCAGGAACTCCGTAGTGTCGAAGAAGTTTCCATAACGTTCTCCTATCTACACTGTCAAATGCCTTCTCATAATCAATGAAGTTGATGTAGAGTGACGAGTTCCACTCAATTGATTGTTCGACGATGATCCGTAGTGTCGCAATCTGATCTGTGCACGACCGGTCCTTACGGAATCCAGCTTGTTGATCTCGAAGTTGAGCGTCTACTGTGTCTTTCATCCTGTTCAGTAACACTCTGTTGAAGACTTTTCCTGGTATTGACAGTATTGTAATGCCTCTGTAGTTTTCACACTTGCTCAGATCTCCTTTCTTTGGAATCTTGATGAGGTGTCCTTCTTTCCAATCCATCGGCACTTGTTCCTCCTCCCAAATCTTTTTGAATAGAAGATGAAGCATGCTTGTAGTTACTTCGATGTCTGACTTCAACGCTTCAGCTGGTATATTGTCAGGTCCTGCTGCTTTCCCGCTCTTGATTTGTCTGACGGCCATTCTGATTTCTTCTGTCGTTGGTGGATTGACATTTATAGGAAGATCTGTGTGTGCTGCTTCGATGTCCGGTGGATTCATTGGAGCCGGCCTGTTCAGGAGTTCCTCGAAGTACTCTGCCCATCTGTTGCGCTGTTGTTGAATCTCAGTGATTGGTCTTCCTTCTTTGTCTTTGACTGGTCTCTCTGGTTTACTGTATTTCCCTGCAAGCTTCTTCTTCGTATCGTAAAGCTGTCTCATATTTCCTTCTCTTGCAGCTTTTTCCGCCGTCGTTGCTAGTTAGTCCACGTATTTTTGCTTATCAGCTCTAATGCTCTTCTTCACTTTCTTGTTTGCTTCTATGTACTCTGCTTGTGCTTGGACTTTCTCTGCTCTTGTTCGACTGTTGTTAATTGCTGTCTTCTTGTTCTTCCTTTCTTTGATCCTGTCCAGTGTTTCTATAGAGATCCATTCCTTGTGATGATGCTTCTTGGGGCCCAGAACCTCTTGACACGTTGAAGTTAATGTTTCTTTGATACCTTTCCAGCTATCCTCCATAGTAGTTTCTTCTTCGTTCAGTAGATCCTGTAAGGCTTGGAACCTGTTGTTGAGAGTTACCTTGAATTCATTGAGTTTGTGAGTATCTCGAAGGAAGGCTGTATTGAACCTTTGTGGTGCTGTTTGTCCAGTTGTCCAGTTCTTCTTTAGCTTCAGTTTCAATTTGGCCACAACTAGGTGATGATCTGAAGCTATGTCCGCTCCTCTCCTGGTTTTCACATCTTCCATTGTCCTTCGGAACTTTTTATTGATGCAAATGTGATCTATCTGGTTCTCTGTGGTGTGGTCCGGTGAGATCCACGTAGCTTTGTGTATACGTTTGTGTGGAAATGTTGTACCGCCTATGACCAATTTATTGAAT